TTTCCATCAAACATAGTTTAGAGATTGATGCTTTGTATTAATGCATTTAGGAAGTCTGACCTAATTTTATAATTGACTAAGCAAGTAAATTTTGTTATTTCAGCTTCCGTGGATGAACTAAAGCTTCATATGATTAAATTGCATGCATTCACCTAAGAAAGTGGTGATAATGTGGATTAAATTTCTGGATAAATGGATTCCTTCGGAATTTTCGTTGATCTAAGGAAGTTTAAGTCAAGACATCCAATACTTATGGTATAAAATGTGGCAGCATTTAATTATGGTGTAAACGACGTTTTAAGGTTAGTTCATTTAAATTAATTTTCCATACAACGCACGTTCATGATGATAATTAAAGTAGACAAGCATATAACTGAATTTCCTATGTTGATTACTTTCGTCTGACTAAACATGTAATTTTTCTTATATGTAAGTATAAGTAGAAGCCATCTAATATTAAATTTATTTAATTCAGGAATGCAAGAACAAGGGAGGCATTTACGGTCCAGTTCTGCTTTAAACCACGCTAAGACAATGATCCTTGCTCATATCGGTAAGGATTCTTTCATTTACAGCTCGATAATATCATTGCTAATGATGATTTTTAGTTATCCCTGTCATAAAGACAATCTTGATGATAAAAGTACACTGACAATCTTTGCTGTATTTATTACATCTATAAATTAATTTTGTAGAAAAACTAACTATTTTTTTCTCTTATTTCAGGTGCTTATTTTGATGGATTCAAAAATGTTATATGAACGTTAATAAAGAAAATTTTAGAGAAACTTAAAAACTGTTGTTAATCAAACGCCTGCCGAATGTTGATTTCAATTATATATTAAGTGAGTAGGGAATGGCTGCGTCCTCTTCAGAAATGCATCAGGCCAAAGTTATGCATGGCGACTGATAGCCGATGTGAAATGTATAGCAACTGGCTACTGAGTCTGGTCGCGAAATTTTTGGTTTCCCGCTTGTGACGATTTAGTTATTTACATAAATTGTTAAGCGCATCGGAGCAAAGTTGCCAATTACTTCGAAATGCACAAGTCAAAAAA